AAAATCAGCACGAATAATCGAAACGGCAGCGCCAGTGTCTACAAGAGCCTCAACGCGTACACCTTCTACAAACACTACTATCAAATTTGATGGCCGCTCTGGAGGAATTGTTAGCTGTCCAATGGATGCAGTTTCCCCTTCTAAAACTGCATTGGGGAGTTTTCCGCGTGGGCGTTCGTGGAATGGCAGGTGAGCCACAGAGGCGACACTGAACGGTGACCTGCGGCGAGACGTACAGGAATTCCCAGGCATGTCCGTATGGTAGGTAGGAGACGATGAACGGTAATAGGACGATCGGGAGGGTGGTCGTAGGTAGTTCATGGTCGGACGGAAGCTTCGATGTTCTTCAGGAGCGTAGCCGCGTTGCTCGTCTTGTTGGCGCCTTCGACAAAACCGAGCGATATGTCCTCGATAGCCGCAGTAGTAACAGATTGGTCGAGATGGGCGCTGAGGTGCGTAGTAAGGTGGTGCACACACTGGCGGTGATAACGAAGCCACAGGCGTATGGTCTGCTGTTGTAGGCACAGAAACGGTGGGTGCGGTAGAGAGCGCGGCAACTTCGGCGTACATGCGTGTCTGGCCTAGCAGGGATCGTTGGAACACGTCGGACGCGATGCGGGGGCGATCTCTTGTTTAATCAGGTCTCGCAAGCTATCTTTTTCAGAAGGGAAAGTAACTTCCGCAGCACAGGAAGAGCAGGGCCCGTGAAGCTCATCGCGAACGATGTCGCGAATAAGCGCACGCAAGTCGAGGGGTGCAGGCAAACGAATGTCGGTGGCATCGTAGCAAAGGCGAAGAGACGGAAGCTCGTCAAGTCGCTGACAGATGGTTATCACGTCCTGGGTGGTGGCAGGATTTTGCGTGGCGAGGGCGTTAAAAGAGACAGTGTTAATGCCTTTAATAATGTGGCGTATTTTGTCGTTCTGATACATGCCGGTGTTAACGCGCTTGCACAGTGCAAGCGCGTTAACACCGGCATGTGTTACACCGTTAACACCGGCACATTCTCAATATAAGAGGTGTAAGATTCACCCGGCAGCTGCGTGCGTTCAGCGAGCTTCTTCTTTGCTGCCTCAGTGTGAACTGCAGGGGCACCAAATATCTGACGAATTTGCTGCTCGAAAGTCTCCCAGTCGGGAAGATCCGGGTGGTGGTTCCAGAACCAAGTTTTTGCAACATCGGACTAGTAAAATGGGACGCTGCGCAACTTCTGTGGATTGTCCCAGCTGTTCAAATCGCTGACGAGGTCGTAGTTCTTGATCCAGTCTTCGACATCATCGCCTCGGAGACCGGAAAACGCAGGTGGATCACGCAGGCGAATGTGTTCTTGGCCGGAGTAGGTGGCGGTGGCTGCAGTAGGACGGCGGAGTTGGATGGGCCAGGGTTTTCTTGGGCCGCCATGGCAGGGGGTTGTATGCGACGACCCGACCGGAGCTCCAGCAAGAACGAGCGAGAGGACTTGAGGGAATGAAAAGCACCGTCCACCACTTGTGAGGAACCGGTTTATTCAGCCAGGCTCGAGCTAAGTCACGCTGGTGATGATATTTACAGATGAAGAAGATGTACAGGTGGTGATGATATCAAAGAGAATAAAAGTCATTCGCTTGTCGCACTCACAATATACATTTCCAGTTTTTATATACAACACGAGGTTTTTAGCTAACCATAATCTACTTTTACCTAAAGTATGTACCAACTTTCATCAAATGACGGCAAAATTTTTATGCATAACACTGTGGAACACGCTACCTATTGATTTGAAATCATGCTCAATGTACTCAATTTGCAAATGTGTGAAAATCCTATTGTTAAAAGATTTTTGACATGAATGTTTTTTTTTGTTTTGTTTCAAGCAAATTGTCACTATTGCTTATTTTGCCCAATTTTTTTTTGCACAATTTTTTTTCTATAGTTTACTGCTATTTCGTCACTATTTGCTTACGAAAGAAATAATACTCTTTTTACTTTTTGTTGGGAGGTCTCCCTTGACAGTTCTTACTTTGGGACCTCCGATTGTTCATTCGTCATGCTAAACAATGTTTATATTTTTAATAAACTTCAAACAAACAGGATGCTGGGAATCGTCGTCTGCTGAACAGCATCTCTCACAGATGGCACTGCTGTCGCAGATTTGAGTTTTGTGGTTCGCACGTTCGTCTGGCCCGTAGCGCAATGTGAAACTCGGGCGGTGTTTGACGTAACTTCGCTTCCACCGTCATGGTGCCAGTGTGCCTCAGTCGGAAGATGCCATAAGACATGCACCGGAACATTTGATCAGTTCGTTTGCGGTTAATGCGTCTTTCTTGAATCAGCAAGCTGTCGAGTGACAACTGGTGCATCTTCCCGTAATGTTTGTATTTTATTCATCTGTAGGTGGCACATGCGCATTATCTGTTCATTTTATTTCTAATTATGATGCTTCTCCTACAGTGATCCAAGCGAAAATGTTCTGTGCTACTCTTGTGCTGTATTTGATGAAAACAAATATGCAAGTGCAACACAAGGCCTAACAAACACTTTCACTATTTTAAAAAACTTTATCCCTGTTCTTTAACACGTTCACTGCAGTGTGATTCTCTGGTGAGTCTAAGCCTGTGCTTCTCCTATGCAACTGTGATGTTACAAGCATGTATACGCTTGATGGTGTCAGAGCTCCATCACGCTTGAACACAAAGGTACGATTCATATGGCAAGAGGTTTTAAATAACCAGAAGAATACTCTTCTGGTGTGAGATGCTGTGAAGAGCCTGTGACCCACCAGTGAACCACCGGTCGGTCACAGCGCACCTGGAAGATGTGCCAAGTCGCCCACCAACGGGTCACTCCACATAAAATGAGACCTCGAGAAAGCGTACCACAGTGAAAGTAGTATTTAGTAAGAAATTTAAGATTAATTCGAGCTGCTTGAGACGAATTATCTTCATACTGTGGCTAACACTGATGTCTCCTGTGCCGACGTCTGCCCAAGAGAGTCTCCACATTCTGTCTCCCTCTCTTTTTATGCCTTAACCAAAAAAATAGAAATGTCGGCTCTCCCACAGAACCACGGCACCTGCGAAAGGCACTTGCGCTAGCTGGTTTCGGCTTGAACCGCAAGTGCTTTTTCTTGGCTCATGTAACACATATTAAGAGTTAAACACGCAATGCATGTTATTAGTGTCGTGTGTTGACACATATTTAACACATATTCAGTGTTAAATATGTTTCTTGTTGCTGCTTAAACTTATACGTTTGGCTGCGTAGCCAGGTCAGATTGCCTGGAAAAATTCAAGCTTCCGACTGTATACCATTACGAAAAACCAGTGATAATGAAGGAGTCAGAATTGCCTTTTTTCATTCATTGGATCTCATCCCAGCAGACTTGGCGCCTTCAAGTAGCACGCAAGGGCTTATTGGTCAGCTGTGCACTCGTTAAAGAGGATCACGCGCTACGTGACGTCAGCTGGCAAAAGAGGAGTGTTCGGCAGTTTCTGTCATGGCCACGAGCCATGCCAACTAACACTTCCAGGTTTTGTGCACATAAGGGAGAGAGATAAAGATGCAAGGAAAGGCAGGGATGGTAATCAGACGCACATCCGGTTTGCTACCCTGCACAAGAATACCAATAAAGCTGGCAGGTGGACGACTGCCACCGTAGCTGAATTGGCAAGCGTGTCGGGCACTTAATCCATAGGTTGCAAGTTCGTTACCTGCCGACAAGTTGTCTTTTCATCTACTTTACTTCACATCTATATTACAATTACAGTCGAACTTCTTTATAAGAGACACTGATGTAAGAGACAAATGGCTGTAGGAGAGAGCAGTGTGCCTGCAATAAAATATGGGCTAATAAGAAAATATGTACGAGGTACCCTGCTTATATGCTTATAAAAGACATCTTATATAAAAGACTTGCTGTCCTGAGCATGCCTCTTGTAAAGGGGTTCAACTGGACTGCATTACACTTAAAATAATACAATTAAGGTCCCCTATACACTCGAACCTCAATATAATGAAGCTACATCTTACACTAAATATGTTTGTTATATCCAAAAATTCATTATGTAGCACATTCCTAACACTATATCTAATGCAATGCTATTTCTTCTTTTGCTTTGTTATAATTTACATATCGTTATATCTAAATTTATGATATTGAGATATAAGTGTACTTCATCTTTTCATTATCTGCTAGCTTTCATTAAGGCTTTGTCAAACAAAAGTGGACCCTCAGAATTCCTTTTCTTTATTCACGACCTAAAACCAGCGACACAGGCATCGGCCTGTATGGGAAAGTCATCCATCCGAAAAACTTCAGAAATGCTTGACGTTACGAGAATGAGTAAGCGCTGGAGTACTTTACTTATTCTCTGTTGGAGGGCTGTGGGAAAAAGGCGACGTTCTTTTCTTGGGTATTAACTGAATAAAACTTCCATTTTCCTGCGAGCAACTGTCCTGCTCAACTTCTTGTCATCGGTCAGGGCAAGTAATGAAGTGTTTATTTTAGGGGCAACGCACCTTAGGGTCTCGGCGTGTCATGTCGTCACCACGTTCCACTATAAACTGGTATGCACCTCAAAAGTTTGGTAGAGTTCATTACGTGCTAACAGTCCATACTAAGCATATTATAAGATGAAAAGTTCATCAATACTACCTAGAATCTCTGACGAAATTCACCAAGGCACTCAAGTTTCCTACCTAAAACTAAGACGAACGTGCGTCTCTACAGAAAGTCATCTATTTGAAACACCACTTCTCGGAACATATCCGCTAAGTGATGGTGCATTAGAGGACTGGTGACTAGTAAAGAGTCGGCATTTTGCTGTGGGAGACACCGGCGAACACTGCATGCTTCGCCTTTGCCCAGGTTTCACGTTAGGGAAGCTCAAACAGTTGTTTTCTCGTTAATTGCTTAGTGCTTTTTCCAACTTTTTATTTTTATAAATTACCTGGCATATATACAGTATATTACAACAGTTATCACTCCTTTGAAATAGATCGACACAATTATAATGCAGCTTCTATTGCGACGTGATGTCTCCAGCTTGCCGAGTGTCTTCTAATTCAAGTTCGTCGCTAGATATTGCACTGTCGGGACCGGAGTCGTCGGAGGCGTTCCCGTCCTTGCCGGCGGCTGCTTCCCAGTTGCCACTTTGTGGTCTTTCCACCACGAGTTCGCCCAGCAGGCAAACGTTTGCTTGCGTCGAGACAAACGAAATGCCTATCTCTTCCAGAATGGCGCAGTCGGCGGCGGCCCTCAGGTCCTCGATGTTGTACCTCCTGACAGCGACATGTCAAGACAGGAGAGGGAGTTAGATTTATAGCTCATTAAGCTAACACTGTCACAGGTTCTCACGTTTGATAATGTTAATGCACACTTGATACTGCTTTAATTCACTTTAAATTGCATTAGCATTCTATTCTTTATGAATTCGCAATTAATACACCTTCAGTTCTTCAATGGACACTCAAGTGAGACATGACATCAATTTAGACAGGTAAATTAGTCTTTCAGAACTCTGTTATCATTCATTTTGCCATGAAAGGTTAATTATTAGAAGACAAAATGGTAGTCGGGGTTTTGTGGTTGAATTTCGCGCCACAATCTGAGTATGTGTCTGTACTTGCAACGTCACGAATTTCGAAATCTTTTCGTGTATTTTGGCCACACTGGTTCAATTAACTTTTCTCAGACATGCTGTAAGACTTTATGCCTCTTAGAACAACGATTACATAAGCCCTCGTGGATGTCGTAAAAATCTGTCGAGTCCCGACCAGCCGATGCGGAACTTCGAGGCTGTCTTTTTTTAGGGTTTTCTCGCTTACCAAGCATCCTATTGCACAATTGTAATTTACTAACACGAGAAGAATCGTTATCCTCTCTAGTGCCCCTTTAAATTCACATGTGATTTCTCGTTAATGTCACCTTTAATTTATTTAATGCACTTGATGGTCACTGATAATTCCTGTGCATTCACTTGCTACATTGGTACTTTTTAATTCGCATTTATTTTATCCATTTTGTGCCCACCACGGTGGTCTAGTGGTTTTCACTTCATAACCACATCGTGGTTTTGGGAGACTAAAGGCGAATGATTACTTAATTCATTGTTAGCTAACATTAATTCTCACTTGAAGAGCACCAGATGCATGCCACACATGACTAAGTTATCGTTCACGTTGACAAGCTCGACCTTTTCTTGTGTATGTGCTATGTGAGGCCCCACGTTTGGCGCCAGTGTGGGGTCTCGATGAGGCAAGCGCCTCGCCATGCTCTTGGAGTGAACGGACACAGCAGACACGGTCGGTACAAACCAAACAATCACGTACACATTTATTTAACTAATTTAGACGACAATATCGTCTGCCAAATCGTTACATCAATTGTAATTAACACGCTACCATACAAACAACATAATACAGTAACACACCAAACACACAGTAACATACCCAAGGCGGCGTCGCCAACGCTCGACTTACCACGAGGGCCCCCGACGCGCAGGCCTGCGGTGCCCCCGCCGAGGACTAAGCTAGCGACAACCGTTCGCGGCAGCCACAACGCGCAGAAGAGGCTCGCTCAACTCTCGCCTGCCACCAAGGCCTGCCTTCCGCCAAGGGTCACCGCTGGCGCAACCACTCTACCAACAGTGGTACTCAACACGAACACAAAGCCATCTATCGCCCAGCGATTGTCACCACTGAAATACGGCTTCTGTGCGAGACACATGCACCACGCGAGGCAAACAACTTTACAGGGATTGTCAGCACTCCCACAAGGTTTAAAGCTTAATAGTTATGTACATTTTGTGAGCGGTAAATGTTCACCTAGGTCAATGGGAGGTAAATTATCAATGGGAGATTTCGTAGTAGAAAGAAAACTCGCGAAAGAACTTTTTTTTAATGGGACTAAGTGGGCATAACCAGTAGTCTATAAGCAGGATGGCTACAAAGTATTGGAAGAGTGTTTGAGGACAGCAGGGAAATGCCATGTGGTGTGGAAAAGTGAGAAAGTTGACATAAATAAAATGTGATCTGCTCACATATGACAGGGGCTATCAAAAATCGTCCTGCAGTGGACGTGAAAGAAGCTGATGATGCTGGCGATTTCTTGGAATTTACAGCGAGCAAAAATCGATGGAAATAAAAATGAGGATGTATGTGACAATACGGTGATGATTATATTTCAGTTGTTTTTAGTGTCTCACATCATGCCCTATTACGTACGCTGCATTTTAAAAAATGAAAAATGACATCAAAACATCGAGTGCAACTACAGATATGCACGATTTCTCAGCTAGGTGAACTGCCATGCCGACCAGGCTATGCTTGACAACTTATCTTGACGTCGAAGCGCAGGGAAGATACACTTAGGAGGTGAAACTCGACTCCTTAGGGCGACCAGATAATGTCACATTGCCAGAGAGCCAATTCATGCAGGCGCTGTCTTGCGGCAGAAAAGTGGATCACTGCTGTTCCAATTTGCGAGTGAACCAGTCGCGTGCGTTGTTCGCATTCCGCCGCAGTCGTGGAGTGCGTTTGTCCGCACTCGGCTGGTGGTGTTGCCTTTTTTACGTTTCGTGGTTGGGGCTTGGCGCCGCCAATTGAAATGTTTCTGTCGGAGCATGTTATTTTTGCATTATAGGTGACACTACTGGACACCTGTGGACGCCCGTTCTAATGGGAGTTTCGCTTCCCAAATATTTCTTCCTCTGTGCATCGAAGCGAAGGTTACAGAAGTGGGGCTTTTGGCTCCGGACACTCGTGTCGCTCCGGAAATAGCACAGCAGCTTGTGGCTGATATCGGTTTGCTCGGTCACATTGACAACGTGTTTAGAAAATTATACGACCAGAAAATGTGAATGGGAGAAACATTTCGATGGATCAGTGTTCATTTCTACATCAAATTAGAGTATTTTATTTATTTATTTTGGAACTAAATGGCGCCTTTGCAGTCGCACGCTGGCCCACCATGTCACAGATGTCACATTTACTTTGGTAAACAGGCAAGCTGAAAAGGTGGTGCTGTCTAAAAATGGTATAAGAAAGAAGGAATTCTCGCAAAGTGAACAATAACTGTATTTTACCAACGACTTCCTGCAACCGTACCAGTCTCATACAGTATATGAAGCAGTACATTTACAAATAGGCAAACGATAAATTATCAGTAATCTTTTGAGGAAGTTTCTTTATCGGTTCTTCTGGTGCTGTGGAGTGCGCCGACATCGTGGTGCAAGTGTCAATCACAAAATTGAAGGTGTTATAATTTTAATTCACAAAACAGACTACCTTTTTCGGGCTATGGCGACACACATCGGCTATTTTTGTTACGGGACGTGACGTAATGTCATGTGACGTGACGACAAAGGTCGTTCCCTTTTGATTGGCTTGATGCAACAAGTAGCGTGCAATATTTATATGGTGGTACCTAGTCCATACGAGTGAATGCTAAATACAGACAGTAAAAACCCTTTTTATACATTTTTAGAAAGAAATAATTTCTCTTTCTGAGTGATGTATTTTCAGAACAACGAACATGACATTCATTCTGCGAACGTGGCTATCATACGCCAGCCAGTAAAGGTGGAAACGCTTTCTGCGCATTTAGTGAGCAGAAAATGCGGTATGCATCTGACCCTGGCATTGCCATGGAACAAGTCTTGCATGCAAGCCGAGAAGTGTCCCCTCCCCGCCTTACGAATGTCTGTATCATACAGAATGGGATTGTGGGAGCGCTTGCTATCCGATGCACGTGTTTTGTCGTAACCACCTTAATGACATTGTCAAGAGCAGTAGCGAGGGGCCGTGTAAAGGCCACCATGAGGCGACATTTGTGGTATGTCTTTGAGATGCGCGCTGTGATTGAAAGCAGTCTTTGACGTCAGCAGGCGAGTGAAATGCGAAAGGGAACGTTTCTCCTCGTCGTCAGCCCGAGTTTCGAACTCTGAGGGCTCTTAACTTCACTTTTCATGCACTGATTTACATCATTCTTGGTGCATTCGTCGCGACAATCATTTCCACACACACGTTCCGGCGCTGAATAAGGGCGTCGCAAAGCCCCTTTAAGTACTATATTTTGCCACGGTAGCAGGCATGGGTATTGGTTTTGTAGCTTCCACAGATCTTGCCAAGAAAAGTTGTTGCCAAGTATAGACTGCTTTACCCAAGACATGCGGGCCCCGCCATCTTGGGCTGTTTAGCTGTTGTTTTTTTGTTTTTGTAGATTGGAATGTGAATTAATATGGCTATGAAACATCGTATGCACAAATTGAACTGTTTTAATACATATTGCGGCGGCTACTTGAACGTGGCCAACCTGTCGCGGCAATATGCATGTACCATAACACTCTTCTGTTGTCAAAGACGCAAAACACAACGGTTAACTTTAATAGCCCAACATGGCAAGACTGCAACTCCTCCGTAAAATAGTCTACAGGCGGAGTGTGCAAGTGTCTATAGACTATTTTACGGGTGTCTTTCTGTGCCACCTTATAGAGCTGTCAATATTGGTATTTCGTATCTTTAATAACTAAACGAACAAAGCTACAGTAGGCGCATTCGCACAAAAGCAAATGGGTTGGCCCAAGACAACGGCAAACATATGTCAGATGTAAAATCATCTATCGACAATGACTTTTTCCTCTTGGTGGCATGACAATGCGACATTCTGATTTCTTCCAGTTTCAATGATAACGAACAGATTCAAGAAATTTGTAGAAAGACCTGACGAAGAATCCCTTCACGAAATTTTGCTCTGTCACGTACCGGGTCATCCAACTGTGTCCGGAAGCATCCACACTGTCGTTGCAGCAGGCCAGGGAGACATCGCGGGCCACGGCATAACGCTCGTCGGGCACGACGACGATGCCCAGTCGGAGTTCCTCCCTTTTGCCTGTGCCGGTTCTCGCTCTCAAGACCAGCGCGACGTCGTTCTCCACCGAGACGTCTTCTTTCTGTTGCTTGAAAGTGTAGCTCACTGCCAGACGGCCCAGCGGGAAATCACAGTTGAACAGCCTGTCGAGAGGGTCGAGTTAGGGCATTCGATAGGCTTGTGCGAAGAATAAATTTTAGGTTTGAAGCTTGCCCCGCCGTGGTGGTCTAGTGGCTAAAGTACTCGGCTGCTGACCAGCACGTCGCAGAATCAAATTCCGGCTGCGGCGGCAGCATTTCCGATGGAGGCGAAATGGTGTGGGCCTGTGTGCTTTTATTTGGGTGCACGTTAAGGAACCCCAAGTGGTCGAAATTTCTGAAGCCCTCCACCACGGCGTCTCTCGTAATCATATGGTGGTTTTGGGACGTTAAACCCCACATATTGATCAATCAGGTTTGAAGTAAATATTGATTTGGTTGCTTTTTTGGCGCAAAGTACAGTGGGAGCAACATTCAATAGTAGGAGGATCCAACTTTCAATAAATGCAAAAGATAACCTGCAAAATACGTTACGTTTTGAAATTTGATATACATAAAGCCTGCATAACAAGCTTTTGAACTCAAAGAATCATGAACCGTTGTGAGGGTGATGTGTTCATTTTACACTGAAGCGGGGCTTTGCGGCAGTGAAAATTTCTCTTGGATGTATTCACAGTATACCACCTCTCCAATGCCATAAAACCACCTTTAGAGGGGTTTACAAGTTGTTTGTGTGTCAATTTGTCCCTTTCGAATACCTCAAAATATCAAATAATTTAAATTAGAATCAAAGCAAATTCGAATACTGTAATATTTGTGCAAGCCTGGTGCTTTTATATAGTCCTGGGCAATAATTACTCTCTGATTACATTAATTGCTTTATTAGAGAGATGGGTTATAAATACAATGTGAGCAAGATAAATAAAATATTATTTGTAACTATAATAACAATAAGCATGTAAATATACTTGTTGGTATGATTGATTATTTCATGTTCATTAGTGCCTTCTTAAAATAAGTGGGCTTGGTAATGGTTCTTGATTGGTCACAGATACAGTGAACCCTCACTGGTACGAATGTCAGTTTAATGAGAATTGCAGAACAACGAACTTTTAGAAAATCTCTGGCAGTTTCCTTATGCATTCTGTGCAAAATTTTCTCAGTTGAACGAATTTCTCAATAGCAAAAATTTTATTTGAAAGAACTTTAGCCCCGGACCCGCACTTATTTTTCAAATCAATGCAACGAATTTTCGCACTTTGTAGCGCTGGTGTAGCCAATGTGCCACACCCTGAAATTGCCATTTATATTACCAGAAACAAATACTATTTTTGTCAAATCAGCCACCAGTTTGATTTGCTGGCTTGATTGAATTGTGTGCTTCCCCCGCCCCTTTTTTTTCTTCATGCGGTGTTTTACATTTATGTGACCACATGCAATCAACACTAAGTTGTCATACACACGCACAACTTTTCAATGAAAGCAAAGCTATGGGGGCCTCTATGCGAAGTAGTTCAGTTTGTCGCACGTCTCATAATGCCACAGAAAGTGGTGGGGGCGCATCATCAGCGTTTCACATAGACACAGACGCCACTTAGTGTTTTAGGTGCACTTCAAAAGGCGGGACCTTCTCGTGCGGCCAAAAACACACGATGACAACGTGTGAAGTCAAATATATGAAACTGTCTCGCTGGTGTGTGCTGCATCCTGTATGAAATAGCTCCACGCAGAAAATACAAAAGTAATTTTTATATATTTCGTCTAAAAAATATGGACGCAATTGTGGAGCTATATTCACTAGCGGTGGGATGTACGCGATTTGGATCTGTAGCCTTTGCTTCATTGCCAATAAAAGTTGTCTGCAAGCTTAGTTTATCGCTTTATGTCCCATCTGAATAAAACCCAGTAGATAATCGAGCCAAGGAAGGTATAGGGAACGTTAATTGTACTCTTTTAAGTGTATTTTAATAACTGTGCAACAGATTCGAAGAAAGTAAAGTTAACAAAAAGACAACTTGCCGCCGGAAGAGACTGAAAGTATGGTCACCATCAGTGTGATTCTTTACACTAGTGGATGAATTATGAACTTTTATCCCATTATCCCTGAGTTTGCTATCCACTGGTATTCAAAGCCACCGACTCGCCTAAAGTAAGGCACGGCATCTGGCTGCTTCGGGTCGGGCAAGAAGCGAAGCCGAAGGCAGCCGCCCCCGTCGTAAGCGTCGTCCGTGTAAATAACAGCCGACCCGCATCCTTGGCACAGCCATTTGCTCTGGTCCCGTGGCTGCAGCTGCTGCTTCGACAGGTCGAACCACGATCGCATTGACACCACCTGAGAATTCAGCCACACGGAGCTTCTTTACATTATTTAATTTTCTTGTTCACAGATACCACAATCCCCGAAGGAATTTGAGCGGGGTAGAAATGCAATATGTTATGGCACGAACGTAGCCAACAAAGCAAAGCAAGTTGGAATACATTGCTTCTAGAAAATACAAGTATAGTACACAAATACAAAATACATTGTTTGTGCTATTGCTTACACTATTTCAAATGCAATGCTTAATAAACATTTAAATAACACACTATAAGAAAGAAAAAAACGTCAGACCTAGCTCAGTAGCGTAGTCATAGACACACATAGCATAGTCATAACAAAAGCTAGTACAGCAGCCCCTCTAGTGTTTGGCTAAGCTCTTTTGGGGAAACTACCCACAAGTACATTGGCAATCTACTCGGCGCATCATAAATGATCTTCGTTAAATTTGGAAGCACCCAGCATGCCAGTATTCATCATTTTGCTGAGAAGCGAGGATTGATTGATTTGTGGGGTTTAACGTCCCAAAACCACCATTTGATTATGAGAGACGCCGTAGTGGAGGGCTCCGGAAATTTTGACCACCTGGGGTTCTTTAACGTGCACCCAAATCTGAGTACACGGGCCTACAACATTTCCGCCTCCATCGGAAATGCAGCCGCCGCAGCCGGGAATCGAACCCGCGACCTGCGGGTCAGCAGCCGAGTACCTTAGCCACTAGACCACCGTGGCGGGGCTGAGAAGCGAGGAGCCCACCACACATCTGTAAAGCATTATGTGCGCTTAAACATGAATCAACACTTTGTAGTGGCCTAGAAGCCTTAAGCGATCCACTCGTTACACAATTTACATTTTTTTAGTGCCTGTTTGCTAATGTGCTCTTCTATCATGCTATATAACATCTGTTGAAGGAGACCTGCAACACTTTTCCAAGTAGCTGCGGAATCGATTCTGGATTCACCAAATGAGCTTATTGTCTCAGGAATCAACCGCCACAAAAAATTTTAGTCCATCCAATCAGGGGCATAACCAGATAACCAGGGGGTGGCACACTCGGCACGTGCCCATGCCCCCCCCCCCCCCCCCCCCCGCCCTCGAAATTTTTTTTCGCCACAGTATAAAGAGCGAAAAATGTCCATTTCCAGGAGGTGCTTCTTCCGAAATCAGGGTGGTGCCCCCCTGAAAAAAAATTTCTGGCTACGCACCTGCATACAATGTGAGCAGAGTTACAAATATTTATCGCACACTGCAAGTGCTTTCTTTTTTCTCTTGTCCCGACAAAACCGCTGGAAGCTAAGCAGGGAGAAATGGCACCAGCAAATGTGGTATGTCACTCAACGCCTCCTGATCTTGAGCACTTCTTTTTTTTTTTCTTCAAACACTACGCTTCTCTGTGCAATTGCACATGTCTGCACGCACGTGTTGCAGCCCCAGTAATTTACGAGCCTGCCACGCTCAAGTCAGCCAATGACGTGATACTCCGCCTCCAGTGTTCATTAGTCTCACCATCTTCTACAGTAACACCAATTCAGCTGCACTGCACAAAACGTAGAATTGTTATTTTAAGGAACATGAATATGCACAGATAATTACAACATGAAGTGCACATGTACAAAAGCACTTCTGCAGCAGCTACGTTTATTGGATTTAATGTCACAAAGTGATACGATCTATGAGACACGCCATACTGGACGGCTCTCGAAAGTTTTCACCCAATGAGCTTATTTAACATGGACTAGCATCACACATTACATGGCCATTCCGCATATGGCAATAGTTAACGTTATAGGTTAAAGCTATGCAATTTCTGTGAAAGGCAGTGAATTTCGCGAGCTTTTACAGCTCCACTAAGTGAGGCATACTACATAAAATACGGCAGCAGTACGTTACGAGATCTGGTGGCATACAGATACTAACAGTAATGTGTATTCAAACAGGCTTTTTGCAGCAATGGCTAATGTAATACGAGTTAATCCTTTGCATCTTTAGTTGGAGCTAGTTGTCAGAATTTACATTCTGGATGACTTCACAATGAGCTCGATGAGTGGGGGCATTCCTTAAAACAACGCAACACCTGTTTTAAAAACATGTTTAACAGCTATTTAACATTATTATGTCTATAATGTCATAATGATGGTCCCCTCAGTTTGACTTATGAATGGACACATCCGTAAGCCAAAAAAGCTGCTGTGGCTATGCAACACTGAGGAACTGCCGCTTTTAACCTTCCCTTTCTTGTACAGTTTGTAACCGAAGCCCTGGCAGAAAGAGCTCGAGACGGGTGGTGCTTTCAAGCACCATTTGGGGCAGCAGTAGTCGGGGAAGCTCCATAACCTGCACAGATGAATAGAGGGCACATATTCTACCGTAATCTGCTGCACGCACCGTACACAACTCGTCATAACCAGGAAAGACATTTCTTAGTGTTTTGAGCAAAAAAGCGGTGCATTATGTGTAAAATAAGCACGTAGGTACGCGTCACGCAATTCAGGGCATGCTCGTGTAAGTCGAGGCATTCCTGTTGTCTGTATCTTTTTGCTCGTGTCTTCCTCGGCATGCCAAACTTTTTTCTATAAAAGGATGCAAAAGTGAAAAATTAAATCAGACAAGGTTTTGTGATGAGATGCTTCTATACTTTAGTTGCTCTCATAACAAATAACGTCTGTAAATGAGATGATTCTGTCATAATAAATTGGTCAGTTGTGGCAAGAAGAGAGACTCCAAGCCTGAAAGCGAGGATGTAGACTTATGGTGGTACCGCCTTTATTGAATCGTGGAACCTCTCACATGGTCTCAACTGAAGCTGATTCGCAAAGAGCAGTGGGAAAAGTGCAATTCCTGTGGCTTTGCTAAAATTGCTTTATTAGTATGTATACTATGTACTATTACTGATAACAAATTCACTCAAAATTACATTTTCTTGTAACTAAGCACCGCTCTTTGTAAATTTACACCAGACAACATGAATTTATTTTGGAAGATTAGCATTATAATTATACAATTATTACTAACCAATTACTATTACTATTACTGGCCGATTCACAGCATTTGCCATCCACTGACTTTCAACTAAGATAGACCAGGAAAAATTACCCAGCACATCACTTCCAACCCAAACCAATGGAAGATTTCATGATTCCAAATCAAATGTGTATTACCTTAGCAAACTGCTATGACTTTCAAGAACAAAGTTCCAGTGAATTGTTGAAGCATCTAGCATTTAGTGTTTCTATTAGTCTCATCGGTAAGCATTGTTCGCATACACCGAATTGCAAATAACTTTTGAATTCGGATGTGAGCCGTACTGACAAAGAAGCACTACAAGTTTTTATTAGAACAATAATTATCTTGCACACTTAATGTTTGTACCCTTAATATACACAATCCCTTCCACGTTTGAATGCCATTAGCATGACAATGTTAATGCACAAACCTAATCTCGCTTGTTCAGCAGATCTCACTCGACTGCAAAGTGTGTACTCTCAACGACACAGGTTGTGCGGTTGTGTGGCCGACACCACAATTGAAGCGTTGGAGATGGTATCCACAACGCACAAAACATTGTACACACACATAGGTTTCAATGACAATGCTCAATTTAAGAGTTTTATATTAAAACATCTTCAGCCCAGCGTTGCAACAACGAGCACCATGTTGCTTTTGGGCTTCCGATTTGACATGCAATTGCTGAATTTGCTACGGCCTGCCATCAAACTTTATAAGGCCGCAGTAAACGTGAGCTATGACATTAAATTCAAACGTGGGGCATTTCAGAGCAAATTAATAAAGTTCTGAAACTGAAGGTATTACTAACAATCTTTTTTTTTTCCAATTTAGCACAGGTATGGCAGAAATCTGTATTGTCATTTCTGGTCAGATGCAGCACAAGAAGTTACCAGAAACACCTTCAGGTGTGAATTATGATCAACCGTCTGCAAATGTGCCAAATTCACACAGTATAATTCTAAGGCACTCGATTTGCATTACAAAATAAAGATGAAGTAACTTATTTTGTGCAATGTTGAGTAATAGACCTTGGTTAGCGTGCAGTGAAATATTCAATTCTTCAGTCAATCAAGACATACATTTACATTTGAAAAATCATGCTGTAGGCTCGCAACAAGCAATATTTTTTAACGTGTTAATGTCAAGTCAGAATGAAACAAAATTATACTATTGACATTCATCTTATAATGTGGCACATCAATTGAGCAGACCAACACTACGAATTTCACCAAAGTGGTTGGCTGCAGCCATCTGCAGTAGTCCGAGGTCAAAGAAAAGACGCAGAAATTATGCGTCTTTTCTTCAATTTATCCCATGTGCAACATATCTTGCTCTTCTTTGGCCAGCCACAAGTCCAAAGGTTTGGCAAAAACAAGCTGTGTCCACATATATAAGTGTACACTGCGCCTCAGGGCAGTAAAAAAAATTGCTGGAGTCCTCATGAGAAAACATGTTTCAACAATGTTACGTCAAAATTATCCCCAGTAATACCTACTCGGTGCGTACGGAGGCAAGACTTCACACGTACTTACCGGCCCTGATTCTGCTCGAACAGCCTCTTGTCCTTTGTCTCGTACACCCAACTGGCACCAAAGATGGCTGCCGACAAGCCGAGCATACGTACCGTATCGACCGCCTGAAACGAAACAAAAGTTTCTTAAAACCAATGTCAACGCTAGTTAAAAAGTCAACAAACACTTTTTTTTTTGTGAACCTTGTAAAAATGTGGTCATGACACGATGGAAAAAAACAAGCTCTCGAATTCTTCTTTCATCCATTCATGGCAAGTGTCTCAATCTAGCAGACTTGTTGCCTTCGTGTAGTAGGCAAGGCATTATTGGTTGGCTAGCTGCCAGCTTGTAACATGATCACGTGACATGCGACATCAACCGGCAACCACATCCACAGTCATGGCTACAAGCGGCGCAAACTAATACTCACAGGTTTCAATGCTCAGAGACACACAATAATGTGTACAGAAGATGAACATAGCCGTAGTTCAATTGGTAAAGCATCGGATGCGTCATTCAAAGGTTGCGGGTTCGGGCCGGCCCCGCCGGCATCACGTTTATGTCACAATCACTACAAATAAATTTACACATACTTTTTTGGCTTTGTCTTTTCGTTGTAATTAATGTGGCATCCAACAGAAAAAAGGAACAAAAAAGTGAGCTCCCCCCAACTACTTATTTGGTTCATTTCCTGCACATGGTATTGCACAGCACTAAAAGGTGCAGGAATTCATCCACGTCAATTTCACGGAGGCATGCAAGTGATCAAATTTTGAATCAGTATCAATAACTACTTGCTATTCAATACGTGTTCGAGAAGTCACAATTTTCAGAGGTTTGCTGGTGCCTGTATGGGTATAACATAAGCAGTACATTGAGCGTCTTTGGACGTGAGACACTTCAAGGGAATTTGTCAATTGCTGATGTTTCTTTCATTTTGCCAAATTTAGGATCCTTTTAGAAACAATTAATCAATTGATGCACATTTTTATTCTACTGTGCATTGACCTTTTAGAAATGTTTCATTGGCTATTACCGTATTGACTCAACTCAGATGTAACTTATATTTTTTTCTAATTTCTTGTATTTTTATTTGACCTTCACATTACCATCCAACACCAAAATTCTATTTTTTTTTTCCATCTTGGATGCAACAAAATGTCACCCCTCATGCTACAGTTGTGGCCACGTTACAATTGAGTAAACAAGGTACGTCGAAAACTGCATTGCATGATGTACCCGACACCTTGCCTAACACTTCTGACAAAGGTGCCTTAAAGAAAATAGACCGAGCTATGTGATCTTACAGCTCTGAACGATTCTACTGCATAAAAGCTGTGCTTATTGAGCAGGAGCATCAGCAAACGCCTGCTGAAAAACGAACAAGCGAGGCGGGTCAATCCTACTCGGTAATGATCCCCGGTCGTCCAGTAAGCATGCTTCACACGACAGAGTGTGCATGCGAATCTGTTGTTTTAGTTTAGGTAACGTATCAAAGAAGTACTAACAGAAAGATCTTCCATTTTGTTTTTTTTTTTCTGTTGCAATAATTAGCCAACAACCCACTTATATACTGAAACAATGTTTTGCTCCAGCCTGCAACAGTTTGTTATGTGGAGACATTTTCATGGCACTCACTCGCAGTTTCGAAGAGCATTGAGACAGGCTGGATCAGTTTGGTTTTCTTTGTCAACATGTTGTAAACACAAAAAAAATGTACTCAGCTGCTGACCCGCAGGTCACGGTATATAATCCCGGCTGCGGCGACTGTGTTCTCGATGGAGGCAAAAATACTGTAGGCCCCTGTGCTCAAATTTGAGTGCACGTTAAAGAACCCCCAGGTGGTCAAAATTTCCGGAGCCCTCCACTACGGCGTCTCTCATAATCATATGGTGATTTTGGGGCGTTAAATCCCACATGTCAATCGATCAATCAGTTCCACCACAGTGCTTCCCTTCCTCTTTAATCCTCTCCCAGCGAGTTTATTACGGTGCGAGTGCAGTGCAAAGAGCACGCATCAGGGCGGAAAGTCCTGTGGACATGCGCATTTATGGAGATCATGCCCACAAGGCTGCCATTGGAAAAAATGTCGCATTTCCATACGGAGACTCCTTCAAGTAGTCTCTGCAACACTTTTACAAGGAATCGTCGAATGATCTCAACGTCAGGTGACAGCCTAGATGTCTCATAAAATGTGCAAATTACTTGCTGGCACTGACAACGTGAACGCGAGTGATGCAAAGAAATGCCACGCCATGATGTCGCAGATTGCCAAAATTTACATCAAGGCGTCACTATGACACCTTATTATACAGCATCACATGACGACGTCACCTCATAACATCTTTTTTTTCTTGCCAAAAGGAGCTCATCAGGCAGACAAATAAGAAGCAGAAAGCTTGCTATGTCTGCAGCGCTAGAGGTAGCACAAAACCACATTAGGTTCAGAAACTTTTTAGATGGGGCAGGGGACAGCCAATACATCAAATGAGAAGAAAAATAAAATGGCTCTTGCCTTCCAGTCATCTTAGGTGAATGCGTAAAACATCCGGTGACTTCTTGCTTCACGAGTCGACTGACACCAACATTTTTTATATCCGTCATGTACAAGTACAGCTGACGGGACCTATGGAGGTGCACAGGGTGAATTGCAAAGGATCAAGAAGCTATGTCAACAAACATCGCAATTTCGAGTCTGTTCCCGCATTCAATAAATCAAGCAATGGCCATATCCGTTCTTTCAACGACAGAGTCACCTCGTCGAGAACAAAATTGGCTGGGAGAGGAGAGAGTGACTTCTAGCCGTCTTTGAAACGTTTTCGTGAATTCCCTGTCGTGCACAGTTCTGTAATACTTGGCTTACATGTTCAAAGGAGCCTCAACTACCAATAGAGAGTGATTTCCAACAGTATTAAAAAATGTTGAAGGCAGTGCTTAAGCCAAATGGGTACGCACTCCTTCAACTCCTTTAGAGTGTTCAACACTCATTCCGATTAAATCTATATCATAATTTGAGAAAATTCTATCGCGATTTTGAAACATAGTACAGAGCATTAGATTAACAGCTTAAGGGGCCCCAAAACCACCTCAAATATTCTCTTTAATATTTATAGCAAACGCACACATCGAGTTCACAGCCCCATTATGATTAACAGTGCCAAACGTGGCAGCACCACAAATTAAAAAATAAACAATCCCACGCTCCTCTCCACACATTCAAGTATACCAAGAGTAAATCATGACGTCTCCAGGAGAACCTGATAATGTCAGCAGCAAAAGAAGCCTGCTTGTGTGCCCGCAGGTACACGTGCTTCCTGCTTTTTCTCCTAGCATGGCAAGGGGCACTAAACGAGAAGGAGAGAAAAACCAGTGAATGAAGCGTAGCGAAAGAAAGAGCATAACAAGCAATGGCCACATTTTGATCATCAAACACGAGCCACTCCGTCATTACGGCACCATTTAAAAAGAACTCTCACAGCCACGTGTTTGTTGAAGACGAGACCACAGCTACCACCACAACTAAATCTTGACATCTGAATAGGGAGCCACCAAGCGTCACTCACCCTGTATGTCTCAAAGCCACCGACATAACTCGTCGCCTGTCCGTAGACATCGATGCCGACGTAAATGTCACTCTTGCGGGTGCCCGCAAAGAACGCCGACTCCTGGAGCATGTCCTCAGTCCAGCGCGAATTGAGGAATATTCCGTCACAAAGTTTGAAGAAGTCACAGTTTTTCTCGTTCAGCTCGCTCTGCCAGTGCAGTGTTCCGTCGTTCGTGATGCTGTCATACCAGATGACCAATGAACCGGGGACGGCCTGGTGGGTTTGCGTGGTGATGGCTAAGAGCAATTTCATGAGGAATCTAATTTGGCACTTATCCTGGAAGCAAGAGGGTTGTGCTTCAATTTCAGCGTGCTTTCACTAATGCGCAGCGTTATATAGGGTTTTAGTATTAAAATTCCAATGATTTATTTCAAACAGTGCTAATAGTACCTAAGAGCTTTGCCGATTGATGATAAATAGTTAGTCATAGTTGTTGAACTGACACTTATAACATGCCCGAAAATATAAATTTGAAATATTACAAAAAAATGGCCATCGGGGGCTGCAATTTTAGGTGAGACCGGCAACCACCCACTATCCATGAAAACAGCCAGGCCAGTCTAAAATGGGACAGGTTACAACCCTAGGTTGCATGGGGCAATGTCGCACTATCATAATCTCAGACGCCGAAGCTGTCTTGAGTGCTTTCATTGAAAATGGCACTGCGACAGAATGACACTCAAAATCAATGACACTAAACAAGGGGGGTATACACAGGGCAGCACACCTTCCTTCCCTAAACATGAACAGACACAATTAGTCCTCTTTAAAATGACTAAAATAACATGCGATAGTTCATTCTAATGAAACGTGGCACGCAAATGGCAGGAATTGACACAGCAATACCAGTTTATTTACATAATGATAGAAATAAAAAAGGAAAATTTTAAGAAAAGTCTAGTCACAAATCAGAGCAAACATCTGTAATGGCTCAGTAGTAGCAGTAAAAAACAAAAAGAAATTAAATAATTGAGCAACACAAACCATCTTGCTCTCAATGTCGATAAGCCACCCATCAAAGTGGGAGAGATTCGCAACAAGAGCCAGCTGAGATGCCACTTTCATCAAGAGGTTGTCACGCCTGATTCGGTCAAGAACATCTGGGCCCTCATGTGACTTGACAAGGAAGGTTCCTAAAAAGCCGAAACGCAATCAAGCCAGTCACAGGTTACCTATTTATGTGCAAAAATGCTTGCAACAAAACGTAGGGGTGCTATCATAGAGCGATCGTTTCCAAGAATGTGATCACTTTGACAACATCCCATACGAATCAATGCCTGTTCTGCAAGGCATAGAAGTTCGTAATAAGTGCCCTAGAGGGAGATCTGGAGTTAGTGTCTATGGGAGCTGCAACACATGGTGCTTCACCCAGCATGGAAACGATGTATTGCACATGGATTCGCCTAAGCTTTTTAAAGACCATGTCCTTCTTGGGATACTTCAACGTAAAAATTTTGGTCTGTCTCTCTTTCTGTCTCTTTCTGTTTGTCTATCAGTCACGCGAAACAAGTACGATCACATTCACAGCAACCACCGATATTGCTCTGGCTTCTGTGTTCATACTTGTGCAATTGTCAATTAAAAAAGCAAATATTGCGCTTATCTGAGGCATAATATCAACACATCAATATACTGTGGTGTGTTTCTTTATACTAGAAAAGGCATACATAAGTGATTCTAAAAACTATTGTTTATTACACTGCGCTGGCAATGTGACGCTATGCACGAAAAGGCATTTCCTACCCTTTGCTAAGACAATGCGGTGCTGCCACCTACCTTGAAATGAACAAAATAAAGCCTCCAAGATAGTGCATGCATGCTGCACGCTTGCTATAACGGAGGCCATCCTTTCGTTTTTTTAGATTATTGCCAGATGGCGGTCATGTCTCGCGCAGCGCCTCCAAAATCTCATTCGCCTATATTCTCAAGGAAAATATCGACTAAATGCTTTATTCACTCTCGACGACAATCACAGTCAAACATACAAATACGGGGTCAATTTTTTGTTTTTTCAGGTCCATGTAGCCTGCATCTGCTTTGCTCCAAGACATATTTCAGCAAAAGTTCCGCCGTCCCACTTTACCACCTGGACCCTTTTTGGCAAACTAATTCAAGTCAGCTAACAAAGCTCACACTGAGCCACTCTTTTATTCAGAATGAAAGCCAAAATGCAACAATAAAAAAGCCATAAGGGCTTTCGCAGTCACCAGCACGAAGGTTGGGCATATATATAACGCAATAGCGTTAGCGAGCTCATTTCACAGAAAGTCCGGTGTCAGTGTCATTCATTGCGAGCGAAAAATAATTATCTTTTCTGTGACCAAAAATTCCAGAAAGATGCAAACAAAATAAATAGAAAAAGCTTGGCAGATCTTGCATACCATGGGAATTGATGTTATGCAAAGTATACGGAGGGAACGTGACTGTGTTTTAATTTTTTTTTATTGAGCGAAACATTACGAAATGATGCTTATACACACATGCCGAAATGGCAGCTATCGTAGACGGTGTCTGGCATAATACGATGTCTCACCCAGCACTTTGACGCCGTGTCGGTGAGCAGCCGATATCCAACCGGGAGGTGGAATGGTGACCATGTAAGGCGAATAATAGACAAAGGTGTCGATTACTTGCCAGTGGTAGAACCGGTAGCTTTTGGGGTTGGCACAACCATGGACGAACCTAAGGAGAGATGGCAAGCAATCCGTGAATGTACGAACTAAGGTATACCCCTCAAAAAGGCAAGCACGTTGTCCCAGTACGTGTTAGGTGTATTTGCTCCTTGAGTCCCGTCATGTCCGAGACGAAGGCGATGAACTTTATGTCATGCAGTGGATGCTGCAGGTACCTCAGAGGCAGAACTTCTGAAGACAGCCCTAAGACGGGACAAAGAAAAAAAGCGACAATACCCTTCACTTCTTTCTCTGTATCATCTTCGCACAGAGCTGTTAAAGGGCCCCTAAGCTGTCTGAAAATTTTGAAGGTGTGTGTTATTCTCTCATTGCTCCCTGTCTTTTCGCCACAACACGTGAGCTGTCTGCATGTTCACGCGACGTCATGAGAAAATGGGTTCTCAATTGGTCCATGTAGAGGGGATATCAGTGGTGGTATGACTCCTACCCTGCCTTATCATACAGTCACGTACACGCACTGCCTCGTCTCGCACGACTATCGAGCACAATCAAGTGATATAAATTTTATCTAAATCAAGTGCTATCCCTTCATTTTGTTTGCTTGAGACCATGCAAACGGAGAACACAGCCTGTAGCTGAGGGCGAACTCGTAATAGGCTCGACTTTTAGTGCTGACAATGACATGGCTTGTGAAAAAATAAGTGTCAACGAGGAGGAAAAGAGCACCTTTAGGGATAGTAGAGGAGGTAGGGGAGAAACCACTCTCTTGTCTTTGAACTCAAAGTGGTTTAGGGGCCCTTCAAGAAGGCAAAGCACCTTACGAATGTGAAAACTGCCAGAGCTTGACTCAGTAGAGAGCCAATGTTTCGTAACACTCCTCCAGCTGTTGTATCGTAAAAGCCACCCTTGCCTCAAAATAAATGTGTTGATATGTAGTTGTGGACAAAAAGAAGTTTGACTTCTTTTGCTCACATGCTGTGTGTCATGGCATTTATGTCAACCATGTAATCTCCAGTGCAAATGTGACATGATCAGTCTGCACTCGCGTGTCACCTAGCTTCCTCCAGCATTACCTGTAGCTGCGCTACAATTTTTCAGTAATGTTGACTAAGTGTCAAAACAAACAGAAACAGCCAAATCTCCAGTAGTAAGTTCATCACCAAGTTCACAAATGACTAAACAAGCCATTAAGAGGCAACCTATGGGCACAACACCATTGCCAGAACTAAATTGATGATTATGCCAATAAAACGGCAGTTAATTAAGCATTGGGGCCATATTCCAAGATGCCCATTGCCAGCGATGGCGTGACTTCTCTCGTCGAAGAATCTCGCATGCCCACCTGCCTCTCTTCCACCAGCCAATCAGCATTCAGTCAAATCAACGGTTTGACACTACCTCTAAGAGTAATTGTGTTGGCATAGTAACAGTATGACCTCTGCTGTACACCAATTAACACCATTCGCATCTTGCATGAGAACATTAAAACTCAGCGCACACACAATATTCCATTCTAGCATTAGCACGGTACTTGAAAAACAGCGCGAAAGACAGGACCCAGTAAGAGAAGCCACATACAATGCTGTTAAACGTAATGAAAACCAGCAGATAATGAAGCCAGGAGAAGTATCGGGGACATTAATTGTACTGTTGTAAGAGCGACCATGGTCATCAGACCTTCATCCTTTGTAGCTCAATCTTCTAGCCAAATTGGTAGAGCATCGCGTGCGTATCCTATAACTCGCATGTTCAGCCCCTGCCGGCAGCATATTGTTTTTTCGTCCACTTTACTTTCTTTGCATGGCAACTACTAGAATACACTTAAAATGGCACAACTAACGTCCCTCGCATACATTCCTTGGCTTCATTATCTGATGGTTTTCATTGAAGTTGTGTCAAACAAACAAACCCTTAAATTTCCTTCTTGCATTCTTTCAGTAAAGCGTAGACACATACAGCGTCGTGCATGTCTTCTCTTTCTCGGGTCCTGGCTTTTACGCTGCTTTTCAAGTATATCATTCATTTCAGTTGAGTCAGCCGGTCTACCATCCTCCTTGAACATTAGCACCTGGGGTGCCACAAGTACACAGCGGCGCACAACCTGCCACGCAATTAAGAGTTACCTGTTTTAAATACTGCATTGTGCGGATTCGACACTAAAGCATGGGACAAGCACTGCGCAAACTCAGACACAAGAGAGAAATAAAGACACCACAAATATATTTAGTGCCGTTTGTGGTGCCTGACGTGTTTGTAAGCCTTGCTTTCAAAATTTTTTCACACGAATACCGACCAAAATAGCTCAGCTCTGTTATCCTACTCCTCACATTCTTTATTTTATGGTCCGTATCCACGCTATCCATTATATTTATAACAAACTCGCCCAGGAACAAATTTGGCTAAGACTATCACCTGTCTTGTTGATAGCAGCCGCGTATGTGGTCGTGGCACAGGAGGGTTTTCGGGTCCTCGGGTCTGCCACGCGCTACGTCCCTCAACGGCTGCACGGCGCACAGTGGCGGACTCTTGAAGCTGAGAAGCTCGTCTAACGTGTCCAGTGGGGAGACTGCGTTGTCTGTGGTCACCTCCGGGTCGAGCATCGCAGTTGAGATTAAATGCGCGACTTCGGTTTGAGTACGATGGCAAACGGTTAAAATACGTTGCGCATGCACCAGGCGATGTCTACAGTGAAGCGGACCGAGACATCAATACATGTACATCCTAAAGTTTCGGCTCACACCCATGCCACCTTGGCCATTGGCAAACTTCTTCTCCCTTCTCCTCGCGTGCCGATGAGGTTTAAATCGGTGGGTCAGCCAAGATGCCATCCTCACAGTGAAGAGGTCTCTAACGAAGTCTGGAATTACTAGTGGCGTACCAATTTTATTCATTTCAACCTGGCAAACAAGGAGAAATATGATATGAAACAAATGTAGCTTTACACGATGACCAATTTACAAATGATGACCAATGTTTCGCTTTGAAACGAAGTTTATGTGGCATCACTTCTAAATGCTAATTAAAAAAAAAGAACAACGATTCGAACATAGAATGCCCGGACTGTTTCGCACAGTTGCATTCGATCAATATCTCGCTCGAGTCGTGATCGAGTTTCTCGTTCGTGATTGGCCCCTCTTGGGGATCTCTTGGCGAGGCAGCCAATTAGCGGTAGAGAAATTCGATCTCGATATGGCTCGATCGCGATTGAATGAGAACTGCGTAGCGGCACGACGCAGCAGATATTCAAGACGCCCAGGTGCAACAGTTATCCGTGGTTACGGAAATGTGGGGATCCTTAGGTGTATTGGCACACACCCGAATACGTAGCGTTCAAAGCGAAGCGAAGTACCAAAGCGCGCATGGTGAGGTGTCGACGTTCGAACGGGTGATCATCAAAGGTTGACGATGTCGTGAGACGAGACAGGTGCGTTTCGCATCGGGTACACGGCAGAAGGTGAGGGTGAACGAGGACCATCGATAGGTGTTTCATGTCGGCACAGTTTGACTACACAGGTATCAGTACTTTCTTTCGCTGTGAGCAGTGAGCAAATGCGAATGTCGCGCTGTGATGTACCGATTAGCGATAGAGTACGGAACGCCAGCGGTCAGTGTACCGCATGGACAACTGCGAAATTTACGTTTTAATTGCATGCGTTTCGGGGATACATTTCATTACCTGAACACAATGCTATTAAGGTCAATCCGTGTCCTTATAAATTGCTTTTAAGACAACTCCGTCCGTCGCAGTCGTGGCCGAGTGGTTAAGGCGATGGACTTGAAATCCATTGGGATCTTCCCGCGCAGGTTCGAATCCTGCCGACTGCGTAATATTTTTTTTCTTTTGTACTGTTTTTTTTTTTTTTTTAAGTATAGCCCATTTGTCTTTAGGTGGCGCGTGGGAAAGAAAGAAAGAATTAACCACTCGGGCGATCAGTGCTAACTGAACCTTTACCAATATGATACTCCAAGTGACCATTGAGTAAACATCGGGAAGTATATCTAAATGGCGAATCAACACAACGATATAATGCAATCTTACCGTGCTCTAACCGGCTCTAATTTTATGCACACCTCCTCCCTCCCTCCCCCTATGGGCGTGGAATTAAATTGACAAAAAGCAAAACCATCGCGACGTCTTGGAGCGACTAGCCAAATGCGACGGCGAATGTCTCCATGTATGAGGCCACGTGCCCTGGAGGGGGTAGCTAAAAGGTGATTAGTAAAATTTTGAACCAATGATTACGCCATTTGGATATCATATGTTTGGCCGTCCGCCGCGCCCTAGCCGTCAGGATCTGCTGAGGACGCCGCTTACGATGGTCGAAGATATATCGCATGTTTCATAGAGCAATAAAGTTTATTAGTCGACGATGGTGGTACGAACAATTGGTACGAGCGAGATATTACCCCTGTACTGTCAAAAAAAGTGACACATTAGCCAGTAGCGCAGCCACTGCCAGACATTATTTTCAGTTGGAGTGGCGGGGGGAAGGGGGGGGGGGGGGCGGAGAAGAGGTGATTTTTATTTTACGTATGTTCGTGTGTGCGTTTGTATGTGTGCATGTACAGTATGGCAGTATATATAGCATACACATGCAACAGTGCCATTCCACACCAAACGAACGATACCTTGTCGACTTTTTTTTTTTTTTATTTACAAATACTGCTGGCCAGAGGCCAAAGCAGGAAGGGCAAGATAATACAGTTGTCATACACATTTCAAAACAACATCAACAATAAAGAGAGTAAAAAGTGGAAAGCGTGACATATTTATACAAAAGCAACAAAAGTAAAGAGTGGGGAGGGAAAAGAGGAAATAGTTGAAATATTTAGAAAAACAACTTCAAATTTCAGCGTAAATAAGAACGGGAGAGTGTAAACTGCTTGCAGGCAAATCGTTCCACTCTTCAATGGTACGAGGAAAGAAGGAAAATTTGAACAAGTTAGTACGAGCAAAATATGGTGTTAAAGAAAGTGCGTGTGAATGCCGAGTCTGGCGTGTTCTTAGTGGTGTGAGGTAGGGGTCAGGGTTCAGAGCAAATTTGCGGTTAGAAAGTTATCTGTCCGCGCGCTTACGCTAATCACAGGGCTCGGCGTTCCGTTATGGACACGGAACCAGGCGGTAAGTTGGTACAAAAATTTGAGACGTAAGAATCTGCGTCTCGACTGCAAAGATGTGATACCATTTGAAAGCATTACACTAGTTACAGAACTACCAGGTTTGTAAAGAGAATAAATGAAACGAACTGCCCTCCGCTGAATTTTTTCTAATGCATCAATGTTAGTTTTAGTATAAGGATCCCAGGCAACGCATGCATATTCTAATTTAGGGAGAATCAAGGATTGGTAAGCTAAAAATTTCACTTTGGTAGGAGCATCCTTAAGTTTGTAGGAGCATCCTTAAGCGAAAAATAAATATCACGCTGAGTTCTTGCATTGAAACTATATATAGCGAATTGCTACTCGGAGGGAATCTACTCAGAGTGTCCACTCCGTGAAGACATATACTCCATCTGGGGCTCCGATAGATATACGCTTAATGTGGGAATTGAAAGCAAATGCTTATGATACGGCAAGATTCATAATTTGCAATTCTTGTTTTCAGGAAGATAATAATATTTGAAGTTCCCCATTTGATTACCATTGATTGGTTGCAATGAATGGGGAACTTGAACGAGGAAGCTGTCGTGTGATCAAATGAGAAGGCAGCCGTCAGTGGTGAACTTCAAGGCTATTTTCTCCCGAAAAAAAAAACACACAATAGTACTTATAAATGTAAAATTTGTTATATAACAAGGACGACTAATTTTCTTTCGCTTGGTATATAATGTTCATTTTTAATTCTAGCAAAACGTGGTGCAAATTGCGTCTAGAAGTGGATTCAAATAAATATGGTGATTTTGTCAAGTTTGTTATTTTTCTTGTACCTAAATACATTAAAGGGCAATGTACCTTCTTCAGAGTGAGTATCCATTGCCCAGATATTCATACAGAGTGCAGTATTGTGACAGATAAAATCTAAACATGGAACATTCTGGCGAATTTTCCGGAGGTGTATGGAATTGAAAAATTGCAGTAAGAGTATTTATCTTGGAAGACCTTAGACAGACGCCCTTGCTTAATGTCTAAACCGAATTTCATATTGAAACAAGAAACAATATTCTCAGAATAATTTTTCCTTGAAACAACACGCAATATATTCTGCGATATCCGGGAGGCTTCAACGTGACTCGATTTTTTCGTCTCTCGATGAACTATACAAGCAACTCAATGTTTTCAATACAAATAGTCAGCACGACTTTTTTTTTTTTTTTTCGAGTACGTTCGAGACGATCGCCAGAAGTGTTGGGATATTTGGCTTAGGCCCGTATTCACAAACCAACCTCACCTTTTCCTCGAATTTCGCTTACCGGTTTTAAACCTTTTTTTTTTTTTTTACGCATGAAAAGCAAAATAAGCCAGTATTCGTGATCCAGTCTTGTCCTTACCTTTCACCGTGTTACCATTTTTGCGCCTTTATAACGCGGGTAGAGTGTACAGGAAGTTGAGGAAAACGTGAGGTAAGGCCCAGGTTGGTTTGTGAATACAGGCCTCAGTTAGAATGACCCAAAAGACAAAAATTCCAGGGGAACGGGGGGGGGGGGGGGGGTCAGATCTCCACTTCCTGGTTATGCCTGTGACCTTGATGGGCTCTTTTACAGCTATTTAATTCTTGCGGGGTTAGCCTATCGTCATCTTTTTAGAATTTTTTTATTCTGATCGAAGTTGTTATATGTCTGCCTTCGGAAGGGCAGTTTTAAAACAACGTTAAAATGTATGGTTTAGAAACATTTCAAATATATTTAACCGATATATGTATATCAAGCCAGAAGCCACAGCTACGAATCCTACGGCGCGGAAAAAAAAAATGGCTTGGCCGCAGCAGGCAGACAGTGGCGACAACATTGTATAATGATATTATTTTAATCAAACGATTGTTCTCAGTGCCTCCCTTCCCTCCCCCCCCCCTAACCACCCCCCAGAAAAAAAGAAAATATTTTAAGGCGGCAACGTTGGCGTTCCGCTTACCTCATTAATTTCTGATTTCGTGGCCAAGCTTAATGCAAAGTATTAAGGCTGGGTCATTTTTTTTTCGGCTGATTGTAATACTTATTACGGTGAATTACATGCATACTTTCTTTATGCTCTCCACAAAACAAAAAGAAATAATTGAAAAACTGGCAAAAAACATGGCCGGAATAAAAGCTTGCGAACTCTGATACGCTTTGGCACGTTTCTTTTTTTTTTTTTTATGTCCGACGGAACGTTTAAAACTAAGTCGAATATAAAACAAATATTTTGAAACCTTCCTGCGAAAGATTGCGTTTCCCTAGGCAGCGCGAGAGAAAAAAAGAGATGGTTAAAAAGCAATTTTTTTTTTATTTTAAGAAAGCTCACTAAAAGTGATAACTTTGTCTCGATTTAAAAAAGAATGGATTTAAGTCCGCTTATGTCATTCGAAGCAGGAGGTCTGTATTATTTTTTATCGTGTACTTGTTAAAAAAAAAATAACGGGCAAGGTGGCCTATCTTGAAAGAGCTTTTTTTTATTATTCAGTGCATTTCCTGGTTGTTTGTCATTTTGCATTCGGAGTAAATGTTAAGTTTTTGTCTACTTTTTCGCAGCATAACCTTGCTGTGGCGGCTATAGTTTCAAAATGTACGCTTAGTTTGTAAAATCTGTAACGAAAAGGACAGTTTTTTAGGTAGGCGAATTAACTAAAAAAAAAGGATGATCTTGCGGAGTGCTCCCCTGTAATGATTTTTTTTTTTCGTATTATTGTTGTATACAGCAGTATATTTCGCAGTTTTTTTTTCTCAGCTTTGGGCATAACATTACGGACAATGTATCTAATCATAGCGCGTTTTTTCTTCTTCTTTTTTTTGCTTTATCATGCAGTTGTAGCCTTGATTGTTTAGTGTTTGAAATTTTCGGGTTTTTCAGAATTACAAAACAAAAAAAAAACTGGTACGCGGCGTAAATATAAGGAAGGTTGTCCCCACATTCCGCAAATTCCAACTTTACTTTATTCTTATTTCAATTAAATCTCAGATAATTTCATTTATTCTCATGTATCCGAGAAAAATTGCCTTAATTATCCTGTGCACCTTTTCAGCGACGGCTCCCTGGGTGTCGCCATTATGCCGGCTGTTGAAAATTGAAAATGAGTGTGCCCTCCTCCCCCATTCAGAAATTCACTGTGGAGGCACGGCGTCTTTGCTCTCATGTGCGATAATATGGAAACGAAGAGCTTCCTCACTTGGTCGAAAAGGCATACCGTTACCTCGGACTTACGAATTCCTCAGGGAATGCTTCCTCTTCCGAAGGTATGCTGGAAGGCATAAACAGACTCGAAATGTTCACTTCTGTTGAGAAGACAACCATTTGAATAGACATTCCCACTGGAGAGAAAAGCCGCCGCCATGATGGGCTGGGAACAGGAGTGGACAGGCTGACGTCACAACCTTGTCAGTGCCTTTTCGGAGGGTCAGGCCTGGTTAGAGCAGCCCAGAGAGGATTGTGGCGACGTCGAAAGTGTGGTCATTTGAAAAGGTTTAAAGTATGCAAAAAAAAAAAAGATCGGGCATTTGTGGAGTCTTGCTGCCGCACAACCGTAATCGTAATCTACTTCGCGTACTTTCCTTACGCTATAATCACCAATGTCCCCGCACATTCACGTCACGAACTCTGCCCTCCCCCCCCCCTCAATTCAGTTCCCGTAGTCCACCTCTTATCACCAATTATAGATAAATGAGTGAAGCCACTGTCAGCACTCATTGACAGTATTTATGCTGCGAAGGAGTTCATCTGCTAGTAAAAACAAACAAAAAATAGCCATGACCTCGCCCCTCTCTCCGGTGTTACTTTAGGCGACCCCCCCCCCCCCAAAAAAAAAAAAATTAGTGGCTGGATCCGCCCCTGCTCTTGATAGAAAAGGGGTTGAAAGCCGGGTTTGCAAGAAAGGGAACGCGAGTAACGCGCCAGATGACGAATATATATTGTGTTTCAGCAATACTCCCGAAATACTGGATTATTTTAGAGCGAGCGTAGGCTAAACTTCGCAAGAGTACTACAGATCAGACTGTCTTGGTCGGACAATGTGTGACACGGCTTCAGGCTTAAAGCTTGCGGCTGCACTTTTATGCGCGTGCAAGCACAGCTAGCACACTCAACAGAATCACTTTTCGATCATACTTTATTGTCAGTCACGTGGAGGATGGTCCTGAAAAGGAGGGTGAAGTGGGAGTTATGCGTGCACCGAACTCTCTACATGAGAGTAAACTGGACGCTTTATTGAACTCCCCTTTGGCTGAGCACGCTGTTGATTGAGCTTGTCGGTGCATCGCTTATGAGAGAAGAGCAGCGAAGGGATGAATATGGCATTATCGTTACTCCGCCCCCCCCCCTGCTTTTCAACCTTTCGTCATCATTTCTTTCCTAATCTGAAGTACCAATTTAGATAGCTGCGCTTTCCCACGGAGTACATTTTTGCTCCGATCGTACCCGAAAACTTCAAATGGAGTAAAATATGGTTACATGGCGCTACTAGATTAGTAGGTACTCCGTCAGAAGGGTAGCTTGAACACCGTTGCCTTTGGATTGGACCCAGGAGTGGACACGGCGATTGTTCCGAAGGGATATGCAGCTTAAGTGAGCACCTCATGGGTCCTCTTCTCGAAAGTGTGATTTAAAAACATTATGGGGAGAGTGGGGTGTTAGAACATCGCGACCCCAACCCCTCCTCTTTGTGTCTGCATGTGGGTCCACCCACTATTCCCCCCCCCCCCCCACACACACACACAAAGAAAATGCATCGGTGGGCTCTCTTATACGTGTAAGAGAAAGAACGCTAGAGCTGTGATATTAGGCCACATTGTAGAATAAAAATTGGAGCCAAAAGCTGAGTGTATCCTTGGGTGTAACCAAGGAGGTTTAAATATAGGTGCAACTCCCAAGTCAACTGCTTACTCTCATAAAGGAGTTACCAGAGCACTTCGCTGCTTTGCGGGTTTATGAGTAGGGTGAGTGCTATTGTAACGCTAGGTTGACGAGCTCAACAGCGGCCGAACAGGGGTATCATCGGTATATAGAGCAGTCAACGTTCGAGCGAAGAATCCTGTACTTTGCCAGGGCAGCAACTTATAAATTCGTTGAAACGTCTGGCTTCGGGTTGGCCGATGACTCACCCGTTTGACTTCTGTCGATGACGTCGTATTCATCTTTCTCAATATTAGTGCTAAGAAACCAAACCTTGTAAAATGAAAGAAAGAAAGAAAGAAAGGAGTTGTGAAAACAGTGACGAGTATGTTGTATGGCAGTCGACCATTTATCCACGAAGCACGACACGCGGCAATGCTTCGCGAATTTCCGTGATTATTCAGACCACACCACAGTCAGCGCTCCACAGTCAGCTTCCAGCCCGTCCACCACGAACTACGCGATTATTCACACACGAGAAAATCAGCCAGTCAAAATATGCGTATGCGTGCGTGCATATATGCGCTCAGACTAGCTCGAGATGCTGTGAAGATTAGGCGGCCGATGAGACACGTTCGTCTAGTGATGTTTTACGTTCACCGAGCCATGCGGCACAGTAGCTCCACAGTTGATCACGTGGTGCGACGTCACGCCCACCGCACTGGCGCTTCCGGTGGCTGAAGGTCACTGCGACGCGATGAATGACCTTGGGAGACATGGCGTAGCAGAGCTTTCGTCCGAAAACATACTTAGTCTTCGTAGAATTTTTTTGTTGTTATCATAGGGTAAACATCAACCATGCCGCTGCAATGTCATGGTTATGTGTCATCGTGAGGATGCAACTGTCGCGTGCGTTTCCGTGTGGCGAACTTAACAAACTTTGTGACGTCGGTATCACTTTATCACCGCGCAAAGACACGAAGGGAACCATGCAGTCATGTCGCACTCCAGAACATGCGTTCGATGTCTATACAGACAGAGATGGCTTGGACGTAGGCGGCATAGCCACGACAGGTCTTCGATGGCAGAAGGCTTGCGGCGATCCCTGTCGGTCACAGACGGCACAATCCATGGGGTTGTGGTCAGGGAAGGAAGGATATCGGAATCTCTTCGGAACGATGAAGCTTTCACACTCAGTCCTTTGGCTAATCATGAGCAACTTCTGCGCTGGTCCCGTATGTACGGATCACACGTTGTCCGCCAACGCTATAGATGGTTTTCACACACAAGGCGTTCTCCTCACTTCACCATCGCGAAACATGACGCTGCGTCCGAGGCATCGGTGAATCACGCGTTTGGCTTGAAAGTCTGATCTTTCTTGTCTGCGTGTTGGTCGCAACTGAGGCACGACGAGAATCAGAGTGCCGTGACGGTGCAAACGCTTCGCAGCGCGTCGTAGACGACGTCCGGCATGTGGTCCTTGAAGCAGCGCGGACTGACCACGAGGTGGTCGAAGTACTCCGGAGACGTCCAGAACATCTGGTACCTGCGGGAAACGTTTCGACGGCGTTATATCGTGCTTTTTGGGCTAGTTTGCGTGTGTCATATTATCGATCTTGTCTGTCGCGCTCGAAGTTTGCGCTATATAGCAGTTCAATGGTGTTACATGGTCAATGTATAGCGTGGGTGTCCATTATATACGAAGTCACAAAGAGCCCGAGTGTAAACGATTAACTTTCGCAACGTGTATACCAAACCCGCTCGGTTTAGGAGTATCTGGAACTTTCGATGCTGTCGTCTTATCAATGCCTTGTCGATCCAATCAGGTTTATGGATACGCATCCAATACTCTTTAATTATGTTCACTTAGCTGACTCAATATAAAAAGATAAGCATGCCCATTCATCCATACATCATGCGTGGATAATTTTATAACGGTAGCTTTTGGTGCAAAAAAAAACGTAAGAACCAACTCGCCCAACAAGTCACTCTGCTGTAATTCTATTAATCGCCATAAAACTTTGGATTGCGTACATTTTTCATCAATATGTGGTTGTGATTGATTTAAGTTCTTATGTTGATAAGTCCATAGCTACTACGCTCCATGTTAGCATCGACATTATTTTTTGGCGAAACTTCGCATGACACATTTAGAAGATTTGAACATAGGCGAACGCAGGGTTTTTCCTCAGGGCGGAGGGGGGGGGGGGGGGGTCAAGGTTCGTCGCAGCACCCTTCTCCCCATTATGTCAGTGTATTGGAATGACTTAGCACCCCCTTAAGTGACTAGACAAAGCGCCCCCCTCGCCCCCCACCCGTACGCACGTCGGTGCGTGAATACGCTTGCGTTAGCTTTCCGCGGTACACATTTTGCAAGTATGCGCCCATTCTGTGTTCTTGTGCCCTCACTGTCCTTATTTTTTTTTCGTTAATTGTCAAATTATTAATTGCTCTTACTCTGCTCGCTTTCCTTCCCTGATGAAGTGTAGGATCTTGCCGGGCATGTGCATCTCGGGCCATTCTATCGGGGGAACTCCTTTGTCCAAGATGAGGTCGAGAGACGCCGGTTCGACTCCCTGCGAAGCAGGAGGGGGTGAACAAATGGGCCAACTCAACAAGCAGCATCACATGCATGCTCGAAACAGCACGGGAACTGAAAACTGTTAAGCTCTTTCTCACAATCCGGTGCAGGCAGCCGGCAAATGGCAGCTGCCCCGCCTCTGATAGTTCAGAGTAACCGTCTGTAACACCGACATTCTTTATGATTTGCATGATGTCACACATGTACCACACGGATGATTCAGTGACATAGCAAGCGTGGACATCCACAGGTGTCCCCATTGAGAAGGGCAAAACTTCATCGCAGTGCCTCCACCTCGCCCCATTGGTCACAACATGATGAAAGCGAAGGGACGACAGGCTTGTCACAATTGTCACAATGACCTGCCTTAAGTCCCCGTCCTTCCAGGATTACATACGACTAGTGAACAGTTCCTAGAATGTAACATTGCAGTTCCTTTGCCTTAATTCCTGTGAAAAATTTAGCCTGCTCTGCTCTTTCGGCAGTTACGGGTTAGGCCTGAGTGACTAAAGGTGTTGGGTATCATAGACGCACGTCTATGATTGCAAGCACCGAGTGACACGTTCTATCGCAAGTGACAACTGTCGTACGTGTTGCACATGCTGCGAAGCCCGAATAAATGGCTATATAAACAAAGGCAAAGCAAAATGCGTGTATGCACACACGTACCGGCTTGTCCCGTGGCCTTAGACCCTCGGCGAGCTTTCCATTCGGGGCGTTGATCTTCTCGAAGGCCTCCTTGTCCTTCAGCGGAGGCGTCAGCCGCCGGCAACAGAAGAGCGCCTCAAGACCGTGCCTGTTGAGCACGTTCTGCGAAAGAACCATTGGGAATATACATATCAACCCATACAATACGCACAATGGAGGTCAGCAACATCGTTCATCGCGAACTCGGTGCAGCGCTCACGTACGAACGTAGGTCAAGAAGCTTGCGCGACCTGCGCGTCGTAAAACTAGTAGCATTGCCTAATAATTGTAGACCCTTAAGTAATTCGAGGATCTACCGAGGCTGCTGCTCGGATATTCACAGTTTTCACACAAGTCTTCAGGATACGAAGCTCATACGAACTTGCGGACACAATGACCACCATGTTTAACAGCAAAAAAAAAAATCACAAAGTTGACTAGGATGCCTTGAATGGTTCGATAAACGACCCTTCTTTTCATTTAATTAGCACTTTCCGGTGCCACAAGATCTGCGCCTCAAGTTCGTACAGTGGTTGATTTCAATATCGGTTCCTTCAGCGCAGCAGCCGCATACTGTTGCCATTAGATACCTTCAAATACCACAGTTACCCGATGTGGCGGGAGGTACGCTCTTAAAGAAGATATTTCAACTTAGTCGCCGTTACGTCGACGTATAATAAAATTTATTTTAAGGCGAAGGCCTCATATGCCTCATCAAGCGTTAAATTCGACCTCGGCATCGACCGTCCCGCTACGTCGGGGACTGTAGTGATGCAGAAAAATCGCGATCCCGTGATGATGTCATTGTGACGTCACAGACTGCGATATTTTGTGACGGCATCAGCACGTCAGAAATTCTGGTGCGACGTCATATGTCACGTAATTACACTTATTGCCTTTGCAGCGCCCTCGTTTGAGCGACGAAAAAAAAAACCGGAAAGAGCGTGATTTCAAAAGAAGACAGTTTTCACGTGACGTCACAGACAGGTTCTTTGCGCTGGGTGCCCTAAGATGGCAGCAACCGTGATGCATTTTATCTCATTAGAGAGTATCTCATAGGAAGACACCCAGTTGTTCGGTCCCCGCATTCTTTTATATGTTCTTCCCACTTTCTTCAGTCCATGAGCAGCACCCAGAGGGAACATAAAGGGACGCAAAGGGCACCAGCATTAATCTAATGTCACCGTTTGAGCTGTCGCAGCATTTCCACCAGCTGGGGACCCTAAGATGGCTGTCACGGTGACGTCAATGCAAACTATATGTGTAGTACGTGTCCTTGAGTGTTCTATAGATAGTAATAATTGTTGGGGTTTAACGTCTCAAAACCACCATATAATTATGAGAGACGCCGTAGTGGGGGGGGGGGCTCCAGACATTTCGACCAGCTGGAGTTCTTTATCGTACACCTAAAGCTAAGCAGATGGGCCGCAAGCATTTTCGCCTCCATCGAAAATGTGGCCGCCTCGGCCGGTATTCGTCCCCACGACCTGCGGGTCAGCAGCCGATTGTCTTAGCCACTAAAGTACCCTGGCGTGAGGGTTGTGGGAATCGAGAGCGCCCTCCTACCTGGCGCCTCATCCCCCAGCTGCCGCACACGCGCCACCAGCGTGGCCCGGGCGCGCATAAGCACCGGCATCCGCCAAGATGGCTGCCAGGGCGCCTCTTGGTCTGGGCCAGTCAACCGTCGGCTTCTTCCCGCGCTGGCATGTCCGGGCACGCTACGCTGGTGCGCTGCGCGGGCCTACGTCACAACGCAGCGCCATTTCCCATTGGGCACACGTGACATCCTCCTCTCTTATGAGCTGTGTTCCGCCCGACGATTCGCTCGTCGCGGCAGATGCTCTCAGGCCTCCACGAGAGGTTGACGCGCTGCTCAGCAGGCGGCTTCTCGTTCGTGCGTACGACTTCGGCCCTTGCGCGGGAGTCGTAGCGCCCTAGGCAAGCGTACTTGCTCGGTCTTGCAGAGTTCCCTATACGGCCTGCAAGCCCGTGAGTGTCGCACTGTGCTGCGTCTTGGGTTAATAAACCCGTTGTTGTTGTTATCCTGCCTCGTGCGTGGTTTCTGCGCCGTGCCGGAGAAAACGACGAACCCGGCCGCAACGACTTCGCACGCAGCGGCAGTGGAGGACGTCGCATCCCTACACGGTTGCGCATAGTAGGTAAGCCTTGTGCAAACCTATCTCCACAGGGTACACTATAGAACAATGACGTTATGGTGTACTAATTAATGTATACTGTAATGGTGCGTGACAGTGGCACGCAATGCCGCGGCTCGTGTTCCCTGCTCCGTCGTATACATCGACTGAAAAGAAGAAAAAAAGATGGTTTTCAACTTCGAGTCGTCTTAGGAGAATGCACGAGGGTCTTCAGACTTGTTTAGGCAGTTTAGTCATCTTTAGCAAGTTACGAAAGAAAGGGTAATCTGTCTCAGTCGCTTGGTCGCGCAGGCCTATAGTGAGTAAAGCCCAAACTCCATAAGCGCGAAAATGCACGCGACAGCGACGAGCGACGCGACGTAGATCGGCGTCGCGCGATCAGTCGCTAGCGCAGGCAAACCTCATTCACGCGATGGCTTCGGCGAGCGAATTCCACTGTTGCTGGCATGAGGCCGTCAACTCGCACCAAGAAAACCGCGTAGCGAGCGGTTTCCCATTTAAAAATAAGATATATTGTTGTGTAATGGAACGGAAAGTGTTAATTATTGCCTTGCAGCATTTTTTATATGCGCATGCGTAATAAACATTGCGTTATTTCTTGTTGCGCATACGTGACTCGGGCAGGGTCACGTGCACCTATGTAGTCTTCGTCTTTTCCGGTTTTTCGCTATTGGCTGCTTGAGCCCAGCACTTCCGGGCGATGAGCGACGGTTTCCAAATCTGGAGAACCGAGCGATCGCGCGAAAACGAGCACGCGACACGTCGCGCGAACGCCCTGTTTCGTCGCTCATAGCGTCGCTCGTCGCTGTCGCGTGCATTTTCGCGCTTATGGAGTTTGGGCTTAACAATGCTCAATACCGGTCGACCTCACGAGGTGCTCCTCACCTCGCTCAGTCGCGCGGCATGCACTTTATGATTGATTTCAAATATGTTGTCGGCTATATAAGCCGCTGGTGTTTCGTAGATGTTGTGCACGTCTCTACGACGAATCTATCTCACTGATCGAGAGCCTTCGGTGCTCCTTTGAGCGCAGGATTTCCAACTACACCATGAAGAATTCCAACTAACGCTGGAATCGCATACCGCGCCTTTCGCGGGTGGAAAAACACCACATGCGAGAGTTGCTTGCTGGATTCCGGGCTGACCGGTCGTGCGCTTGCGCGCTTGCGATCTCCGGCGTCAGCGTGGCTCTGGCCGACTGGGCTCGCCCTACCTCACCTCCTGCCGCCGACGACCTTCGACGACAGTGTAGCTCTGACTTACTGGACTTGCTCTACGCCATCCACCGACGCCGAAAGGTGCTCTCGCAGGTGCGCCTCGGACTCTAGTGACCGTGCTCCCATCTTTCCTATCGCTTCTATCCCCTCACTTTGTCATCGCTCGCTCTGGCTCACCACCTCACGTCTCTTCCTCTCTTCTCCTTCTTCCGCTTTCCTATACCTTTACCTCTACCCCTTCTATCCCTCCTCACCCCCATCCCTCGTGAGCTACTGTGGCGGTGTCGCTCATTGAAGCAGACAATAACGGGGCTCACTTTTCTCTTCTTTTATCTTTTAAGAATCACTTCAAACACCACATGCGGCGGACGCCGGCGTTGCCACCGACCACGTCGGTTGCTATAGCAACGTTGCAGAGAGCACTTGCTGTGTTTGAGTTGCGTCTTCCCGCCGATGCAAAGCCACTGCCGTTAATAACGGACGCGCGCTGTTGTTACTTGATCTTGTCGATCGCACTTTGCATGCACACAGTATATATTGAAGTACTGAGATACTCTTCTATAGGGCAACAGGAAGTCGTCCCAATTACGCGTGTTTCCAAAATATGTTTGTGATTCAGAGTACGATGTACTGTACTCTACTATGCGAGAGCAGTAACCAGTCCCAGCACCAAGTGAGTGCAAGGAACCTCGAAGGTCGGGGGAGGGAGGGGGGTTAAAAAAATGGCAGCATATCCACGGAGTGAATGACGGAGAGTGGGGCGAAGCATCCGTGCGTCCATTCGTTCTTGCTTCCGTCCGTGCGTCCGTCTGTGTGACCGTCCGTGCGTCCATTCGTCCGTGCGTGCGTCTGTTCGTGCGTCCGCACGTCCATCTGTGCACGTCCATCGTCCGCACGTCCATGCATCCGTACATGCGTCCATCCGTCGGTGCAGCCATCCGTGAGTCCGTCCATGCATCTGTCTGTGTCCATTCGTCCATCTATTCAATACTCCAAGTACCACCATCTCGCATCTTTTCATCATATATTCCGCATATGCACCGCCATTCAAAGGCCATTCCGACGACTAAACGAGAGATGGCATACGCACACTTTCCTACGGCTTGCGCTTTTACTCGGTTATGTGTGCAGAATAAGTTGTTGACGATTTAGAGTACGATGTTCTCTACGATGGGAGAGCTTACTCGGTTATGGGGGGGGGGGGGGGGGGGGTAGAAAAAGTGGGCAACGATTTAGAGTACTTGGTACTCTACTATGGGAGAGCTTAAAGCCGTCCCCAAGGCGCAGAACAAACCTTGAAGAGAGTGTTTAGCGCGAAGCAGCGTGCAGGCGGTACAGCCAACGGAGCCAAATTTAAGGGTACTTTTAGGTAAAGTCATCTTCAGGGGCCTCTGTGCTTGATCTGGCCACATCGCTGGCTTCGGCTGCCTAACAAAATTGTTTTTATGGTAACCTGCGAATGAACATCACTGCTCGAAGGTAAACCAACATGCCATTTGATCTTTTTAGCGAACAATTGAAATTTTCATAAAATGTCTAGATTTGTGTTCGTTTAAATGGCAGCTACGAATTGCTCTCAAAGCAAGCTGCATGCTCAACGAGAAGTGGCACCGATAGTCATATAACAATGAATCAATGAAAAATCTACGCTGTCCCTACTTTGGCAGTCGTCATTAATGTGTGAGCGCAGAGTTTGACGTTACGTCGTATAAAAACCCTTCGTTGCAGCTGTCTTTCGAACGCTGTTTTC